GTGGAAGAAGCAACCTGGGAGACCGAAGAATCTATGCGAACTCAGTACCCTCATCTCTTCGACGACCAATGACTCAGGTAATTTCGAGGACGAAATTCTTTTTAAGGGGGGGAGAAATGTAACGCCCCGAAACCTGGCCCAAAAGAATTAATTAAATTGTTAGAGCAATTGATTACGAATTGGGCCCAATAAGGGGTTAAAATTATAATTTGGATTTTAAGCCCAACTTTTATATCATCTCGTAGGAAATATTTTTGTGATCGCGTCGGTTCAGACGGCTCGCGAATCGGAGTTATGGAGCTCATGTTATGACCATTAAATCAGGTATTTTGGGTCCGAATCCCAATCCTTTTTGGAATGGGACCATTAAATAAACCTAAACCACACAAACCTTATCTTATCTTCGTTCGTCCTTCTCCTTCTTCGTTCGTTTCTCTTATTCTTCTTTTTCTTCTTTTTCTTCTTTTTCTTCTTCTTCTCCTTCTTCTTCTTCGCCGATCGACCTCCGCCGTCCAATTGGAGCCGCCGTCGCCTTCCCCAGCCTCGCCGCACCAGCCAATTGCGACCTTACCGTCGCCGGAAGCCAGTCGCTGCCCAGCGTCGCCAAGCCTCCAGCGCCGCCGCTGCTTCCTTCGCCAGTAGCCGCCGCTCAGCGTCGCCGAGCCTCCAGCCGCCGTCGCCGAGCTTCCAGCTGCTGCTTCGCCTTCGCCAGAATCGAGCGCCGCCGTCGCCCTTTGCATAGCGGCCATCCTCGCCGTCGAGTGCAACGCCGCTGTTTCGCCTTCGTCGGTCGTCCGCCTCCGTCGATTGCAGCGCCGCCAGTCGCTGCTCATCGCCGTCGAGCTGCCGCTCCGCCACTGTCGCCGGCGTCCATCACCGTCGCCGCATCCGGCCGCTGCCCCGAGTTGATATCGCCGGCAGATTAACCTCCACGCCGGATTGATTGGTCGATTTCGCATTTTGACTCGATTTGACCCGTTCGTTTGATTTCGTCGATTTGCCTTCCGTCCGAGCTATCGATTCGATTTCGGCATAATCCAGGTCCGTACTATGAAGTTAATAGCATTCAGAATCGATTTAATGGTTTGGATCGTTATATGTGTTTATGCTATAATTTGGCTAAATTGGTTAATTGAATTAAATTGATTGTTTGAATTGAATTGTTGAGGATTGTGAATTGACCGAACAGGTTTGACTTTGACTTGGGTTAGGTCATGTTTGACCTAGACTTTGACGGGATATTCTGTTGTCGTAGGTTTAACCGAATGGTTAAATCCAAGACTTTAATGAATTAGTTAAGTTAATTAATTAATTCTAATCGGTGATTAAGGTCAATTGGTTTATTGTGTTGAACATAGAAACTGGCCATTGCTCGGGCGGCTACAGGGCCTGGTCAGTGAGGTTAAGACGTGCGCACGAGGGTCTGCGATCTTGGGTTTGAGGCCATCGCCCGAGGGATCCTACCTCCACCGAATTGAGGCTATCTTCGGTATTACGGATTGAGGCTATCTCCGTCATAGGCATTAAATGTTAAGTGGTTTGACTTTGGTGAAAGTCTAAATTGGTTTGACCG